CATCAAACAGTAATGTCAAAGACGAAGAAATTCAAGATTTTTACCAACTTCTGCAGTCTGAAATTGATAGAACATGCAATCAGGATGCATTGATAATTACTGGTGATTGGAATGCAAAAGTTGGAAATAAACAAGAAAGATCGGTAGTTGGAAGACATGGCCTTGGTGACAGAAACGATGCTGAAGATCACATGAAAGAATTTTGCAAGACCAATGACTTCTTCACTGCAAAAACAAAAAATATCAAACCCAGTGCCATCAAGTTGATTTCAACTCATAGCGACCCTATATTGCAAATATCTTTTTCAACAACGTAAATGGCATCTATACACGTTTACCTCACCAGATGGAATACTCAGGAATCAAATCGACTACATCTGTGAAAAGAGATGACAGAGAAGCTCAATATCATCAGTCAGAACAAGGCTAGGGGCCAACTGTGGAACAGACCATCAATTGCTCATATGCAAGTTCAAGTTGAATCTGAAGAAAATTAGAACAAGTCAACGAGAGCCAAAGTACCATCTTGAGTATATCCCACCTGAATTTAGAGACCATCTCAAGAATAGATTTGATGCACTGAACACTAATGAGGAAATACCAGACAAGTTGTGGAATGACATCAAGGATATCATACATGAAGAATGTAAGAAGTCATTAAAAATACAGGAAAAAAAGAAAAAACAAAAATGGATGTCAGAAGAGACTCTGAAACTTACTCTTGAACATAGAGTAGTCTTAGTCATCTAGTGCTGCTATAACAGAAATACCACAAGTGGATGGTTTTAACAAAAAGAAGTTTATTTCCTTACAGTAAAGTAGGCTAAAAGTCCAAAATCAGGGTGTCAGCTCCAGGGGAAGTCTTTCTCTCTCTCTTGGCCTTCTCATCAGTGTTCCCCCAGGACTAGGAGCTTCTTGGCACAGGGACCCTGGTCCAAAGGACATGCTCTGCTCCTGGCACTGCTTTCTTGATGGTATGAGGTCCCCCTGTCTCACTGCTCACTTCTGTCTTTTATATCTCAAGAGATTGCCTCAGGACACAATCCAGTCTAGTAAATTGAGTCCTGCCTTACTAACACAACTGCCACCCATCCTCCCTCATTAACATCATAGACGCAGGATTTACAACATATAGGAAAATCACAACAGTACCAGGAATCATGGCCCAGCCAAATTGACACGTACATTTTTCAGGGGACATAATTCAATCCATGACAAGTAGCTAAAGCAAAAGGAAGAAATGATGAAGTAAAAGAACTGAACAGAAGATTTCAAAGGGCAGCTCGAGAAGGCAAAATAAAGTATTATAATGACTTGTGCAAAGACCTGGAGATAGAAAACCAAAGAGAAGAACATGCTCAGCATTTCTCAGGCTGAAAGAACTGAAAAAATTCGAGCCTCAAGTTGCAATATTGAAGGATTCTATAGAGAAAATATTAAATGATTCAGGAAGCATCAAAAGAAGATGGAAGGAATACAGAGTCACTATCCAAAAAGAATTGATTGATGTTCAACCATTTCAGGAGGTAGCATATGATCAGGAACCAATGATACTGAAGAAGTCCAAGCTGCACTGAAGGTGTTGTCGAAAAACAAGGCTCCAGGAATCGATGGAATACCAACTGAGATATTTCAACAAATGAATGCAGCGCTGGAAGTGCTCCCTCGTCTATGCCAAGAAATTTGGCCAACCGACTGGAAGAGATCCATATTTATGCCTATTCCTAAGAAAGGTGATCCAACTGAATGGGGAAATTATCAAACAATATTACTAATATCACATGCAAGTAAAATTTTGCTGAAGATCATTCAAAAGCAGCTGCAGCAGTGTGTGGACAGGGAAATGCCAGAAATTCAAGCTAGATTGAGAAGAGGACATGGAACCAGGGATATCATTGCTGATGTCAGATGGATCTTGGCTGAAAGCAGAGAATACCAAAAGATATTTACCTGCGTTTTATTGACTATGCAAAGGCATTCGATTGTGTGGATCATAACAAATTATGGATAACAGTGAGAAGAATGGGAATCCCAGAACACTTAATTGTGCTCGTGAGGAACCTGTACATGGATCAAGAGGCAGTGGTTCGAACAGAACAAGGGGATACGGCGTGGTTTAAAGTAAGGAAAGGTGTGCATCAGGGTTGTATTCTTTCACCATACTTATTCAATCTGTATTTTGAGCAAATAATCTGAGAAACTGCACTGTATGAAGAAGAATGGGGCATCAGGATTACAGAAGATTCATTAACTACCTGTGTTATGCAGATGACACAATCTTGCTTGCTGAAAGTGAAGAGGACTTGAAGCACTTACTGATGAAGATCGAAGACCACAGCCTTCAGTGGATTATACCTCAACATAAAGACAACAAAATTCCTCACGACTAGACCAATATGCAACATCATGCTAAATGGAGAAAAGATTGAAGTTGTCAAGGATTTCATTGTACTTGGATCCACAATCTACACCCATGGAAGCAGCAGTCAAGAAATCAAAAGACGCATTGCATTGGGTAAATCTGCTGCAAAAGACCTCTTTACGGTGTTGAAAAACAAAGATGTCACCTTGAAGATAAGGTGCACCTGACCGAAGCCACGGTGTTTTCAATCGCCTCCTATGCACGCGAAAGCTGGACAACGAATAAGGAAGACTGAAGAAGAGTTGATGGCTTTGAATTGTGGTGTTGGTGAAGAATATTGAATATACCGTGGACTGCCAAAAGAACAGGTCTCTCTTGGAAGAAGTTCAACCAGAATGCTCCTTAGAAGCAAGGATGGCGAGACTATGTCTTACACACTTTGGACATGTTGTCAGGAGAGATCAGTCCCTGGAGAACGACATCATGCTTGGTAAAGTACAGGGTCAGCGAAAAAGAGGAACGACCCTAAACGACATGGATTGACACAGTGGCTGCAACAATGGGTTCAAGTATAACAACGATTGTGCGGATGGCGCAGTACCAGGCAGTATTTCCTTCTGTTGTTCATGCGGTCACTATGAGTCAGAACGGACTCGATGGCACCTAACAACAACAACAACAACAACACCCTCCCACCACTTGGTCTTGGAAGCTGACCTAATTGTGGGAAGTACACAGCTGAGTGTGAAGACTACGCTTTGAGCTTTCTAGTCAGAGAACCAGGAAATGAGGGAAGTGGATTGTGGGAGCTGGAGAGTGTGGGAGAGATGATCATGGAGAGGAGGGAGCTCAAGAAAAGGATCCCGTAAACTTACATGTGTACTCTTGGGCTCACTCTTGAGCTGCCCATGGATATGACCCTAAACAGCATAACAAAGGCTTTGAGAACTGGACTACTACAGGGTAGATCACTGCCCAGGTTTCGGACTGGCTCCTGGATGCTGCACGTGTAGGACAGATCAGAATAACAATGTAAAAACTTTGAAGACCGAAAGAATATTAGTGTCAAATGATATTGAAAATATTGGTGCCATTCTGCTTGTGTTACGTATCATTCAATCGACTTGCATATCAGTAGCAAAAGACAAGGAGGGACTGTCCCACTGGTGAAATATTGAGAAACTCATCATTGTCAAATCTATGCCATGTCTGTGATTACAGACAAAACCAACAAGATGACTGATTGGTTTGAGCTGATCTCATTTCTTCATCTTCCAAACATTTACTAAGCCCAGGCCCTGGGAGACATGAACTTAAAGCAAAGCTGAACATTACCCTCCAGAATGTCACAGTCCAGAGAGAAAATAGGCTAGCTCTGTGAGAATCTTCTGAATAGTTTGACTTTAAGAGCCATGGTTCACTGCATTGATTAAGAACCAAGAGTCATCATCTTCTTCTGCAACTGGAGATGATAAGCATGATGTTAGAGCTCTCCAGCCCAAGCGGTTTCCTTGTGCCATGGTAAAATATTAAATGAAGGTGGGAACAGCAGGTGGAAAATCTTCAGTGTGGGTTTTGATATCTAGGTAGACAAATAGTTAAGCTGATTCATGGCCAACAGCTCAGTCTCTGGAATCAGACAAACCAAACAACAACAAACCAGTTGCTGTTGAGTCGATTCCGACTCATGATGACACCATGTGTTTCAGAGTAGAACTGTGCTCCATAGGGTTTTCAGTGGCTGTGACCTTTCAGAAGTACACCACCAGGCCTTTCTTTCGAGGTGCCTCTCCGTGGATTCAAACCTCCAACGTTTTTGGTGAGCAGCCAAGCGCTTTATCATTTGTGCCACACAGGGACTCCAGAATCAAGCAAGCTAGTTTCAAATCCTGGCTCCTCCTCTTCTTAGATGTAATATCTTTAACCTCTCTATGTCTCAGTTTTCTCATCTGTACATTGTTATTATAATAATACTTTTCTCCTAAGATTTGGTGGGGCTAAATATCAAAGTCTTAAGACTAGTGCCTGGTACACAGTATGTGTTTAATGAGTCTTATTTATTATCAGAGTTCACAGGGCAAAGTCAAGATTTACTGTCCCTAGGGCCAGTTCGCTTTGGTCTTCCGTGTTACAGATCATTCTCTGGACAACCATCTTACAAATCCATGCTATTGGCCATAAGGTCAATATGGGAAGATAAGTAAAGTCCCAGTTCTATGGGTAATGAGTAAATAATTTAGTTACCAAGTACAAAAGCATATACACCAAACTCATTGCCCTTGAGTCAATTTCAACACATAGTGATCCTACTGGGCAGAGTAGAACTGCCCCGTAGGGTTTCCAAGGCTGTAAATCTTTATGGAAGCAGACTGTCAACATCTTTCTCCCCAGAGCAGCTGGTGGATTTGAACTGCCAACCTTTCGGTTAGCAGCCAAGTGCTTAATCACTGTGCCACCAGGGCTCTCTGCATATACTATGTCTTCAAATAGGCCATTCCAAAATGCAAACTGCCAACGTAAAGAATTTGTGTATATGGGTGAAGAAAAGACATCTGAAGTGATTAGATTTTTCCTCCATAGCTCAAGACTTAACACTGGTTATGCTCCAACCAATTCTACCAAAGGAAGATGAGCTTACCTTATCAGCAACATCTACCCTGGCCTTGTGATTAAGCAGGAAATCCACCGCAGATAAATGATTCCTCCCCACTGCAAAGTGCAGGGCTGTGCGGTTCATCTGAGGAAACATAATTTGTGTTTAGTGTGATAAACTCTGGCAGTCTTCTGGTCATTACTGAGCCTTTTAACAGGAGTTCCTTGAATAAGGAGCCCTGGTGGTGCAGCGGTTAAGTGCTCAGCTGCTCACCGAAAGGTTGGCAGTTTGAACCCACCAGCTACTCTGGGGGAGAAAGATGTGGCAGTCTACTTTCATAAAGATTACAGCCTTGGAAACCCTATGGGGGCTGTTCTACTCTGTCCTATAGGGTCACTATGAGTCAGAATTGACTCGATGGCAACAGGTTTTGGTTCCTTGAATGGTCATAATTTTTTGTCAGGTGTTTGTATTTTGATTATTTAGCTCTACTCTCTTTGCATTTGCCTTTGAAAGTAGTGAGCCTTGTGTTCAGCAGAGAATGTGGTAATCCACTGAAGGATATGCCACAAGTTGAAACCCATTGCATAACCTGTCACTGTAATAATATGATGGATTTCATTCAGGGAGCAAAAGTTGTGTTTTTACGCAATCATTAATAATGGTAAATATTTTCTGCTTAGAATACTCTGATAATGCATAGCAATAATTTTCCTAGATGTTCAATCCATTCATGGGCTTTCTTCTGCAATTTTTTGGACTGTAAGTATTACTGAAACAAACAAATAAATTGATTTTGAAAGAAAAAAAGAAAGAAGGAAGGAAAGACACAGATAGACAGACAGAGAAAGCTACAGAGCTCTATCTTTTGCTTCAAAGGAAAGCCAAGATGGCGCTTCTGGGATGCCCAGAAACAGTCTAATGTGTTTCCCACAACAGAAGTTTTGTTTGTAAGTAGTACACATGTCGTATTTTCCATATTATAGACAGCTTTTGCTCCTAAAGAAGATGCCTAGGCATGCATTTACTATTGTCTGTTTTCCATACATTATCATAAAAATATGAGAACGGTTTAAATTCAATATTTGACACCCTTGCTAGCTAAACCAGTGATAAACTAAGTTTGACAAAACATGAGTTGTCTTTACATTGTGTGCAATCTAGAGTTTTGCTCTAGAATGTCAAATTTCAGCTTATAACGTCCTCTATTGGCTTTATTTGTGAGTAAGGATGCAGGCCAGAATAGCATCTAAGATAATTAATTCAATAAAACCATTTACATTATCTCCCATCTCTATCATCACAGACTTTAATGTACTCTTCACCATGTCAACAATTTGCTGTAAACAGGATAAAACAGATGTCATTAGAAAGTATAATACAATTCATCAGGAGTTTATAACAATTTGCTGCAATGACTGTAAATTAAAGTGTCCTAGATTGTGCTATCTAAGAACTTTAATATAAAAGCATGGTAAAATATCAGAAAGTTGTACGTGAAAAAAAAAGTTTTTTTCAATGACAACTTTTTTTTTGTATGTGAAAAATTTTAAATGGTTGAAACAGTAAATTGGAAAATCTAATTCCTTCCACTTGGAAAAATAATTACTGCTTCATTTATCTTATTCAACAAGATTGAGGGGGCTAAATGTCAAAGTCTTAAGACTAGTGCCTGGTACATAGTAGGTGTTTAATGATTCTTATTTATTATCAGAGTTCACAGGGCAAATTCAAGATTTACTGTCCCGAATAATAATCTTCCATGGTCATAATAATCTTCAGAGGTGTATACCCACAAATATTTTTGAAACTATGTAGCTATTACCTCTAGATATTCTTGCTTATTTTCCCTTCCTTCCTTCCTTCCTTCTTTCCCTTTACCCCTCCCCACTTTTTTTTGGTTCCTAAAATTGTTTTGCAGCAAAATTTTTTTTATTATTCTATTCTTTCTAGGATGTCTATGGAACATGAATACTATACACACCCATAACACGAGACACACATACACACATTACATACACATACACACATAAATTCACACACACACACGTAAACACATAATCTTACACACACACACACATAAGTGTGAAGCATTCTTCCACTGCAAACGATGCATGGGATTCAGACTCTGCACTCCAGTTTCTATGACTCCACTGCCTGGGACAGATCCAGGTTTTATGGAACCTGAAGTTTAGACAATTTGGGAAGCCTTCTTTAAAGGCAGAGTCAGCAGGCTTAACTGATTGCAGCTAAAAATTTCTTCCTTCAGCAAATTTTGCAAAATCATGTAACCATGGGAACATATTGCTACTGGGACTTTAGAAGGGACTTTTACAAGTGAGGGGCCTTGAGCTTATGCTACATTTAGATTAGCATCACAGTAAATCCGCCTCTGCCATCCTCACCTGAACCATTCCACAAATTGTCTGAAGCAATTGCCCCAGCCTCAAATTGTTCATTTTAATCAAACCCTGCCTAGAGGGGCTGTCAAGAGCCCTACTGGTACAGTGGTTAAGCCCTTGGCTGCTAACTGAAAGGCTGGCAGTTCGAACCCACCAGTGGCTCTACGGGAGAAAAGAGCTGGTGATCTGCTCTTGTAAAGATTTCAGCCTAGGAAACCCTATGGGGCAGTTCGACTCTGTTTCATAGGGTCACTATGAGTCAGACTGACCCAGTGGCACACAACACCAATGTAGTATTTCTTATGACGAAATTGTCACAAAACCAAACAGTAGGAAATCCATATTTCTGGTAGTGGACTTCCTCCTCAATATTCAGTCACGTGAAGAGCAAGCAATTAAGAGGCAGATTTCAGAAATGGCCTCATTGCTCAATACCCAGAGGTACTATATTTTAGGAGCCCTGGTGGTGCTGTGGTTAGGCGTTCACCTGCTAACCAAAATGTCAGCAGTTCAAATCCACCAGCTGCTCCTTGTAAACCCTCTGGGGCAGTTCTACTCTAACCTATAGAGTCACTATGAGTTGGAATCGACTCAGCAGCAATGGGGTTTTTTTTTTTACTATGTTTTAAAAGCAGTAAAATGAAAATCCTTATTTTCCTTTGGATTTCAGTTTGTAAGAACTTAACCACAAAGAGCATCCTTGGAGAGAAAACAACCCAGATTGTGCAGCAAAAGATGCTCTGCCTTTCCAGAATGTGTGAGGCCAAAGTGACCCACAGGCTACAATCCAAGACCAATTCCAGGCCCATGACCTTGACAGTCGGCCACACTGTCCACTCACAGACTTTGCACAAATGTGCACAAAGACCTTGTGCACTTCCTCTGTGATAAGATAAATGAAAACACCCAGAGCCTCTCCCACTGCTTGATCCTACCTTTATTGTAAACACCCACAAAGGAGATCTCCCTCATCTTGCCTGGCACAATTATTTTTATTTTTATTATTATTTCATTTGACCTATGTATACCCAAGCCACCACTTGGAGTAGCTGCTTGTCATATTTTCAACTTCTACTCACATTGTTCACAGCATTAATGTTAACCTTCTTTTCAAACAGCTTCTCCATGAGATCCAAATTATTGCTTTTTGCAGCATTCTGAAAGCTTCTCTCTTTTGGCAGCACTGAAAGAAAGCAAGCAAGCATGACTGAGGGAATTTAAGGGGGCCAGAGAGAAAGCAAACCTCATGCGACAAACCTTATAACTCTAACAACCTGCAACAACAGTCTTGAGCCTCTCACATTCTGCAGCTGAGGAGAAGGGAAGTCTGCTTCAATGTTTTATAAAGCTGTGGTATCAAGATTCCACTTTCTCCTAGCACTGTAAGTGGTTTCAGACCCTTAAAAATGTTCCTGGTCCCAAATAAAACATTATGCATGAGGACCACCTTGAAGTCAGTAATGTCATTTCTGGCTCTAGGAGGTCGGAGGGCAGTTATGGACTTCCCAGGAACGTTGTTTACAAAAAGTATCGTACAAGATTAGGCAGGGAGGAGCCCGAAACTGCATACAAGCTTACAAAGATAAAATTGTTGTCTGAAGAACCCTGAACAGAAGCCAGAAGGCCTGTGGGAACAAAACCTAAAACGCACTACATCATAAAAATACACACAAAAGCAAAAAGGGATGAACACGTTTTATTCTCATTTATATTAAAGGAGATTAAAGAAGTTTCACACTGTATTATTTTCTTTGGGCTGCCCTAACAAAATATCACAAACAGGGTGGCTTATAAGAAGAGAAATTTATTGTCTCATAGTTCTGGAGGCCAGAAGTCCAAATTCAGGGTGTTGGCAGGGCCATACTCTCTCTGTCTGCTCTAGGAGAAGAGCCCACCTTGTCTCTTCCAGCTTCTGGTAGACCCGTGCATTTTTTTTTTGCTGTTCCTTGGCTTGTAGATGCATCTTCCCGTGGCTATCTTCCCCGTGTGTCTCTCTGTATCTTGTTCTTCTCTTTTATAAGGACAGCACTCATATTGGATTAGATTATGGCCCACCCTACTCCAGTATGACCTCATGTTACTTAACTGATTATATCTTCAAAGACCCTGTTTCCAAACAAGGTCATGTTCACAGGCACCAGGGATTAGAACTTCAAAATAAATTTTGGGGAGGACACAATTCAATCAATAACATAAATACTGTAAGCACTATGCATCACACACATATGCACACTCAGAGGGCAGATATTGACTAGCATAGAGAAGAATCCAGGATTTACTAGTTTGTTTTTTTTTTTAATCATGTAAGGGAGCTAAAGGACTCTCAGGGGACAACCCCAACATTGAAGGATAAAATCAGAATTGAGGCTAAGTAGAATCAGCACTAGATCATATTTAAAAAAAAAACAAAACAAACCCTAGGAAACGCTTTGTAGATGGTTGCGAGGAGTGTCCCAAGTTTCTGCCAAAGACTCTTCAGAATGCTGTCAAGTCCAGTCAAGGACCAGAAGTATCTTCATGGGAGATGTTCACGTTCATTCTTTTTATCACCCAGATTGCTCTCTTCCTTCTCACTCCTACTCTTTTTTTTTTTTAATTGAATTCATGGGAGTTTGTTTGTTTATCATATTAAGTTTTTACCATGTTGAATTTTTCCCATTCATAGATATAAAAAGAACAATTACAGTCAGGTGAGGCTCCACTAAACTTTGCTACTTTAGAAAGGGACCCTCATCTTGAGAGGCTGGGAACCCCTGAAATTAGAGAAACAAAAAGTAAGATCCTTTGGAATCTGGAAAGCAATATGCCAATATAAAAGATTTACATACCACATAATGGCTGCGGTCCATATGTGTGGTCCACCAAAAAAGCTTGGGATTTGTGGAGTAATTCTGGGGAGGACTAGGTTAGTAGCTGTCGTGTAGGAAGTTCTTTTGAGGGCTTTATTTTTTTTTTATTAATTTATTTTATTTTTATTCTTGCTGTTGAGAATATACACAGCAGAACATACACCAGTTTGACAACATCTACATGTAAAATTCAGTGATATTGATTACATTTTTCAAGTTGTGCAACCATTCTCACTCTCCTTCTCCAAGTTGTTCCTCCCCCATTAACATAAACTTACTGCCCTCTAAGTTTCCTATCTATTCTTTCGAGTTGCTGTTGTTAATTTGATCCCATATAGATAGGTCTTAAAAAAGCATAATGCTCAAGGCAGATATTCTTTACTAGTTAAGCTAAACTATTGTTTGGTTTTAAGAAGCCTACTCCCACTCTTGTTATCATTCTAGGTAACTTCAACATCTTTGTAGATGATTAATCCAAAACCTTGGCCTCTCAGTTTCCTGACTCCCTCACCTGTAATAATCTATCCCTCACCTGACCTCAGCCAGCCAATTTCAGGGTCATACTCTTGACCTAATCATCAAAAACTGCACTACCTCTGAAGTCTTCACTTTAAGAATCCCATTCTCCAACCACCACCTCTTCATCTATTCAGCTCACCCGCTCTACCTAGTTCTCCCAGTCCAGAAATTCTGCAACCTCATCAGGTCCTCTGATTCTCAGTACCTTTTCATATTCTTTATCCCTACGTCCTTACTTCCCATCTTACCCAGTTTAGCTTGTTTTTCTTGCCACTCTCATCCCTACTGGACTAGTTGGTCAGAATCCTAATTCTGAGATTAAACCCAACTGCCACCTGCTCCACTTCTGTACCTGAACACAACAATTGCTCAATAAATGATAGCTATTATTATTTGGCTAGCAACACAGAATAACTGTCCTGCAAGCACCAGAAAAGGAGACAGAGCGAGAACTCAGTCTAGAATTGACAACCTCTCAGCTTCTATTCACATCCTGGTTGAATACATGGCTAAGGTATGAGTTTACTGTCTATCCAAGATTCTGTAAACTCTCATTTGTATGGCAATCTTAACTCCCAGAAGCAAATTTTGGATTGTCGAGTGTAGCATCCCTTAGTTATTTTACTTTGGGCATCAGCCTGTCTCTCTAAGAATGAGAGCTGTGGAAGTTACCCTTTTTTTCTTTTTGCCCTGCCTGTCAGAATATTCAGAGTTAAACTTGGTACCCATTTGTATTAACTATGTAATATATTATTTTCCTCCTCCTCTACAAAGATTCTGAACTGTCTTACATTTGGTTAAATGCCTTTGGCAGATATGTGTTATTATAAGTGCCCTCAAATCACTTTTTTTTTAATTTGAAATATGCAGGAACAAGAGTTGAAAATATACAATAATCACAACATCTCTTGCTTAAACTAAGAAATACATGAATTCTACTTCTTTATTAACAACGAATTGTACTCATAGATTTTCCTGAAACCCTTCAGAGCACTTATTTAACTTTGTGATACCTAGGAAATAGAGAGTGAAAGATGCTGTTATCCCCATTTGGGTCAGGAGAAACTACTAAGCATGTAATGAATTAGGGAGGTAGAAAGTATAAACAAGTCACTATCCCTGCCCTGGAGAAGCTTATGAATATTTAAGTTAAAGTTTAATTGCAAGTAGCAGGAAACTTACAATGTTGTTTTTGTTAGGCACTGTCGAGTTGATTCCAACTTATAGTGACCCTATGTACAACAGAACGAAACACTGCCTGGTCCTGCATCATCCTTACAATCATTGTTATGTTTGAGCCCATTGTTGTAGCCACTGTGTCAGTGCATCTCATTGAGGGTCTTTCTCTTTTTCACTGATCCTGCACTTTACCAAGCATGTTGTCCTTCTCCAGGGACTGGTCCTTCCTGATAACATGTCCAAACTAGGTGAGACCAAATCTGACCAGCCTTGCTTCTGAGGAGCATTCTGGCAGTACTTCTTCCAAGACAGAATTATTTGTTCTTCTGGAGGTGCACGGTACATTCAACATTCTTTGTCAACACCATAATTCAAAGGCATCAATTCTTCTTCGGTCTTCCTTACTCATTGTCCAGCGCTTGCACTCATATGAAGCGATTGAAAATACCATGGTTTGGGTCAGGAACAGCTTAGTCCTCAAAATGACATCTTTGCTTTTTAACATTTAAAGGGATCTTTTGCAGCAGATTTGCCCCATAGAATACGTTGTTTGATTTCTTGACTGCTGCTTCCATGAGCGTTGATTGTGGATCCAAGTAAAACTAAATTCTTTTTTTTTTTTTTATTGTACTTCAGGTGAAGGTTTACAGAACAAATA